TTCGGCGTCTGCTCTGCGGCCTTCTGCGTGAAACGGCGCGGGGAAAGGACAGAGATCGCTCCGGAGATCAGTGGGGGTCACGTCCACTCGTGTCACCCGTCACACACGACCCCACGAAAAACCGACCGCTGATAATCCCGACAGGAACGCAACAACCGAGTAAGGTCTACCTCGTTTTACAACAGCAGATCCTGCGGCTTCGATCGCTTCGCAGGCTCCACAAGGAGGGCGCTGAATTCCCCTTTTTTGGGGGGGGCTGTCACGCCACCACATCTCTCTTCACGGGGATGAATCTGCAATTAATGTTATTAATGTTCCTGCTTTGATCCAAAGGCTCCTGTGCTGCCCGAGCAGAGCGCTCTCTTGTCTCCACTGACCCGCTGTGGAGAAAGTCAGGGAAAGAGAAAAGGAGCCTGGGGCAGAGCCAAATTAGTATTACTCGGTAATGGGATTGCAGCGAGCACTAACCTTGAATTTCCTGACCTCTCTGCAAACTGTGATGTACACAACCTTGCAAAGATGTTTTAACTCCTCTGGCACATCTACACCGTGGGTGCTTCAGTTAGATTTTAAGTTGCCAGTAGGTCTCTTCCAACACCCAGAGATCTGCGTTAGCTCCCCATGGAGGTAACCGGGACCACAGGAGTCTCTGAGCAAAGGCACCCCAAAACAGCAAATGAGGATTCGCCTCATAGAAAGTGTAACAAAATCTGCCTGAGGTTAATGCGCTCTCATTGAGGAGATTATAGAAGTTTCTCGGAGCAGGTTATTGTTCCTCCAACGGTGAGCTGAAGTTATGGAGCCCTCATTTGAGAAAAGCAAGATCTAGTTATGCAAGAACCTCTCCCGTCCCTCAGCTTTTCACAGCAATGTTTGGGGGGCAAGGAAGGGCCAGAGGACGACCTGCTCCAGGGACGGGTGGGAAAACCTCACGTTGCCAGATCTCCCCGCACAGACCCCAAGGGAGGAAACCGCTTGCCTGAGCCCCGCGTTACCCCGAGGCAGCGAGGGACTGGCGCGAGGTGCTGTGCAGCTGCACAGCCCCCTGCTCCCTTCCCCAGCTGGGAAGCACCACGTACAGTCCTGCTCCTGAGAGCAAAACCCTGAGGGGTTTTGGGGGGACCTGAGCAAGACCCTCTGCATCTCTGGAAAAGGGCTTTGTCCGTGCAGTGCTGCAGAGACTGAAATCTGCGCTTCTGGGTTTACAGGAGTCCAAGATCCTTTGGCTCTTAGTGGAAGGAAACAAGGGTATAGATCAGTTACAAAACCTACCTGCCTATTTGTGATTAACATGAAGGCAGATTTTTAAATCTTCATTAGAAGGAAATGATACCTTACTCAATGGTGTGTGAAGTGTTACTGGTTCAGCCTGCCTTTGCTTTGACAATCTTGAAGGGATGTACCCAAATGTCAAGGTCACATTAACTTCTGCCCAGTTCTTGGTTTAATACCTAACCGGGACTGACCCTGTAGGCTAATAATTGGAACGTGGGAAGATCAAACTGAAAGTCAGCTTTATTTTTATTTATTAATGGTGAGGAGGTTTTAGATCCCAGATGTTTTTTAATTGTTTTTTTTTTTTTCTCTGTGGTTATACAACACCGAGCACACTTTGATGTTCCTGATGTACAGACAAAGATAATTGCTCTGTGCTGAAACGGTGAAAGGACAACTTCTGGCCACGAATGTCATACAGCCTTACATCGTCTGTGGAAATGCATAAACTCACCTAGCTACTGATTTTACTGGGACTGACATGTAAATAGAGCTCCCGTGTGTGTCCAGAAAGTTCTCAAGCCTCCATGAGACAGACAAACCATAATGCGGGGCCAATTTGCACACTCTGCTAGAGGAAGGCTGCAAGAACATTTGCAAGAAGGGAGCAGGAACTGCTGAGGGAAGCAGGATGAACACTCCCAATCTAATCCTGATCTAACAGTCCTTAATGTGGCCTCGCAGATCGTCCCAGACCCTCTGCAGATCTCTGGCCTGCCTCACCCAGTGTCCCCTCTGCAGCCATGGCCAATTTTTCACATTTCAAAGACAAAAATCTCCCTTCCTCTACCAAAGAAAACACTGTCACTGCTGCCATCAAACAAACTCCTTGTGAACAAGAGGGAAACTGGAACTGGGGAAAATCCTTCCTGTTTCTAAAACCAAGTATGTAACACCAGAGGTCTGGCTGCAGTCAGTATTTCGCTATGCGGCTGTCTTATGAGTACATTTATGGCTTTGGTGTCTGTGTGGTGGTGCATTCTCCCCCAGGCCACTCTACAATCTCAGGAATTCCTGTTAGGCTTTGGCCTTTGTGTAATGAGTTGCGTGGTTAAGCATCCCTTGACTGTACAAGGAGCTCTTGCATGGCTAAGGCGCGGAGCGGCACTGACTGTACTAAGAATTCCTGTTGCCTGGCGGAGGCGAGGATCCAGAGCAGGAATAATTAGTCATTCCCTGACAGCCTTGGAACATCCCTTATCTGCACTGTAGCTCGAGTGAAACGGTACCAGTGTTACTGGAATTCTAGTAGCTTGCTGATGACTAAAGCAATTGTCTTGCCAACCTATAAACAGCGGTCCCAAGTGAGGCCCTTTGAGCTCTCCTGGACCACAGCAGGCTTCGACCAGCATCTCCCTCCAAGGGGGATGCCTCTCAGAGCTCGTAAACTCTCCGGTTTGTGAAAATTGGAGGACTGTCACTGAGAGCTGACGATGGGACCTGGGCTTATACCCTTCGCCCGTTGAGAAAATGCTGAGATATTTGGCATGAATATTTCACTGAACTCGAGGGTAATTTTTAATGAATATACCTTTGTTTATATATATATCTCTTAGTGTCTGGGTGCATGCATGTGTGAATTAACCCAAGTATCCTATAGCAAGTATAGTATAAATATTGCCCTTTTGAATCTATAACTAAATCATTGTTGTGATTGTAGTAAATTCTACTGAATCACTTTGTAAATGTTAAAATGATCAAATTCTGCTAAATCTTGTGATTCCCCTCAAGCTGTGAATGAACCTCAGACTGCTGCTATGCACATAATCCCTTTAGACATAAATCGTTGCCCAAGCCTGGGACTAGGAGAGGATCCAGCCGCACCTAAGCTCCATCAGGAGTTTAGAAAGCAAGGAGGTCTTCTCTGAACCTTGTGACTCAACGGGAGGGTCTCCCCTACCTTTTTACATCTCTGATCTCTGTGCAATTCTAACTTGATCTTCCTTTGCATGTTTCTCTCTTACCCTTTTGCGTGTTTGGTCTCTGTATAAATAATTCTAGTTTGATTCTAACTTGATTTTCCTTTGTATGTTTCCTCCATGTATTAAGTACTAGAGTGAACCTTGCCATCAAACTTTGTGAAGTGGTGCTTTTATAAATTCCGATTAAATCATTTTTGCTAACACCCTTGACGGTGATTCTTTAAGCGGTCCAAACCACTCATTTGCGACAGTCTGAGATTCACCGTTCCGAGGCCGATATCGATGCCCTTGATCATCAGCATCATTATGTTCGATGTGGTACAGACACACTGTGTCCAGACACACTGGACTCCAGCATCCACCCGGGCAGAGGTGCAAAACGGCAGCCAGCGATCACCCAGCAGGTCAGCGGCTGAGCCAGAAACAGCCCGCATCTCAGGCCAGCACTGTTTGGTTAATGCCTGTACAGTATTTAAAAGACAGAGATTATTTTCTGGGCTCAAATTTATACCCCAGCCCTTTCACAAGGATTAATTAACTTTTGGCCATTGTTGCAGGCAACGCCCAGAAAGGCTGTCACCCGTTTTACGCGGGGAACGATGTGCGTGTCACCTCTTCTCCTGCAGCATCGGTGCTGCTGCAGCGGAGCAGCACTGCTCCCATGGCCGGGTGCTCAGCAGAGCTCAGCACCGCAGGGCTCCTCGCCTGGGTGCCTTCCCCGGCCTCTGCCCTTAGGTGAGGGGATCGCAGCCTGCCTGGATCTGGAGTAGCTCTGCAGTCCCTAACTGGTCTCTCCTCCTCCCATAGCAGGGTACAGGCAGCCAGGGAGTGCCAAGAGCTGTTAGCGAGGGAGTAACTGTGATAACTCATTAAGTGGATAGGGCTGGAAATCAATTAGTGACTCACAGGGCTCAGGCACCGAGCAATACAGGTGGAGAAAAGCGGAGGCAG